GAATAGAAATTCATTCATTTCTAATAGAATGAAAATTCATCCAATAATATGCTTAAATTATTAATGATTTTTGTAATGGATAGTAAGAAGACAAGTAATAGTATAAAAATGATAAGTATACTTTTATAATGGATAGTAAGAAGACAAGTAATAGTATAAAAATGATAAGTATACTTTTGTAATGGATAGTAAGAAGACAAGTAATAGTATAAAAATGATAAGTATACTTTTGTAATGGATAGTAAGAAGACAAGTAATAGTATAAAAATGATAAGTATACTTTTGTAATGGATAGTAAGAAGACAAGTAATAGTATAAAAATGATAAGTATACTTTTGTAATGGATAGTAAGAAGACAAGTAATAGTATAAAAATGATAAGTATACTTTTATAATGGATAGTAAGAAGACAAGTAATAGTATAAAAATGATAAGTATACTTTTGCATAAACGATTACACTTACATTTGCAATTAATAATGATATTTGAATTTTAAAAATATTAAATCAATCAATTTATGATTAATATTCAAATTTAAAAATTATTAATATATTAAATTAAAAGATGATATTAACTAACCTTCAAAATAATTTCTTGTTAGAAACATCTTCTTTCCCTTCTCCTTGTTTTTATCAGATTTGTTGCAATTTGTGAATGAAATATTTGAAATAGTCGACGAAAACTAAGTCTAAACTTAATTTAATATAATAAATGCCAATAGCATAAAAGGATTAAACTATAAGCTTTAATCATATTTGATAACACTATTATGTATCATATATGATTGGTTGATTAATATTCATAATTATTATCAATCAGGAAATCATTTCATAAATTCACTCTCTATTCTACTTAAATTTTGGCGTTCTTATATACCAAACATTTTTTCATCCCACTTACTACTACTACTAGTTTATCACAAAAAATACTAAACAATAAGGTGATAAGTTTTTTTTTGTTTAGTTTATTTAAAAAAAGAAACAAGCATATCATATGATTTCTAGATTTTATCACTGATGATAATCGTTTTGTTGTTTTACATTTTGTCTGTAATTAATTGAAAGGAAAGAAAATCTCATAAATTTTTATTTTACAAAAAAAATTTCTTTATATAGTGTTTTTTTAATTGTAATTTTTGAATCAAAAAAAAAAAGAGAAAAAAGAACGAAAAATAATTCATTAAAAATTTTTGAAAAAAAAAAAAAAAATATTAATAATATTTTGGAAAAAATTTAATGAATAAATACTAAAAATGATTTAATAATTTAATGATTTAAAGAGCAAATAACAAATAAAATGGAAATGAATGAATGACAAAGATATGACAAAAAGTTAAAAAAGTGTGACAATATTAGTTCTGTCATCATTTTCTAATGACATAACTGCAAAATGAAGAAGGCAACAATACTCTGAACACTACATTATCCCACATATTTATGCATAACCCAAAGCATAGGTAAGCAATTATTGTCGGGCAGATCACACCGACGATTCACTGATTTTAATACTACTCTCTTCTAATGGATGGATGACCTCTAACCTATTTACTATACTTATCCATTCAGTTTATCTAATTCATTCATCAAACTCAAAGCACTTATTTCGGTCATTTTTTTTTTGATTAATGACGAAAGAAACGAATTACTTGAGTCAAAAATAATTTTATTAACTATTATTTAATAATATAAAAATAAATATGAAAAAAAGAAAAGAGTCAACATTTTTTTTGAAAATAATTTGAATTTAATTAAAATTTATTTAAAATAATATTTAAAATTAAAAAAATATTTTAAAGTTGACATAAAAAAAAAAAATAGCTGCAATAATTAGGTGAAATAACAAAATTTTTGTTTAAAAATTAAAATAATTTACTATCAAATTATGATATTTCAACATTTACACTAATTAATAACTGAACTGAATAAATTACACAATGCAATATATATATAACATAAATGGAAAAGTGTGCTAAATTTCGATTAAATTTTTATAGTACTGTATTAATTTCAAAAAAAAAAAAGAAAAAAGTTATTAATGTATGCTTGAATTATTAATTTTATCTGCAATGATACTGAAAATTGAATGTAAATATTGAATTATTTAAAAAAGAGAAAACTCTTAATAATAGTTGCAGTATTTATGAAATTTAACTTTAGTGTCAATTAATTTGGCTAAACTAAATGTGCAAACAATTTAGTGATTATTTTAAACAAATAATTTTATCTCAGAACAACAAAATTTGGTCATTTTTTGAATGAAACAAATTCATTGAAAGAAATGAATTAGCTAGGATAAATGTTAGTAACTGATATTTAGTAAAATTTCAGGATACATCAGCAGATTTAGTACATCAAACAACAAAAATTTATCGCTCTGTAATCATTGTCAAAATTTAACAAAATTTAAATTTGTATTTGAATTTTTTTGAAAAAAAGAAAAGATATGACTTTATAATTATGAAAATCAATGAAAACGAAATACAATTTTATGTGAATACAAAAATTACCTCATTCCAATTATATATTTGTTATTGATTTTAAATAGCTTTTCAATATTAGGAATAAAAAACTTAAGTTTTTATAATTTTAAGTTTTAGAATTTAAAGTTTAACGGTGTTTATTTTTTTTTCTTTGCTATTTAATTTTTGGAAATTTAGAATTTTTTTCTCTTTTCTTTTCCTTTTTTTTTTGGTTTTTCAATTATTCAATTACAACACTTTTTGTTAGAATTGATTGGTATAAGAAATTGGCAGAATGATAAAGCGTTGAAAGGAAAAGAAATTGATAACCGGTTATCTACATTTTATTGATTTCAGGAATTATGGCGCAATTTTTTTCTATTTGTTTCAATCTTTAATAGTACTAAAATTTGTGTACTAAAAAAAAAAAGAAAGGAAAATGTATTTTATCAATACTACATAAAATTGTCATTTAATATATTTTAAAGAGAAAAAAAAAAGCTTAGTAAATTGGAAAAAAAATTCTATTTAGCATATGAATAAATCTGTTTTATTTAATTTTTAACAATAATTAATAAAAATTCTCTGTTATTTTTAATCTTAAATCTTTTTAAGAAAAATCATAAATAATATAATTTTATGAAAAGCTTAGTGTAATATTTCAATGATAGATGTAGAAAGAAAATTGATTTGATTGATTTGACAGTAAAACTGTCTTCGCACAATGATTGCTAATATTGTTATGACTAGTTGACACTTTGAAATTATATGACTTATCTGATCATTCCACTTATATTCCAATCATATTTTTGCGCTTCTTTTCAGAACATTAAGAAGTAAAAATAATGAAAAATTTTTTTATCGAAATTAATGGAATTAATAAACTGATGAATTTATTTAACAATATAATAACGTTCTAAAAATTTTCACTCTCTTTTCTTTTTTGGGTGAAATTTAAATATTTTATAAACCGATGAAATGATTTTTCGAAAAAAGCGGAAAATTTTTTAGTACTTTTGCAAAAAAAGATTTTATTTTGTTTTTATAAAAAGTTTTCTATTTTCATTAATAATACATTATTATTGTTTTTTTCAAATGATTAACAAAATGAAAATGTATTCGATAAATGAAACTAAAGTATAAATTATACATTATAATTGATTAAATTGTCACTAACATAAATAATTCATTTCAAAATGAAGAAATTCTACATTTGAGATTTTATATCAGTGATATAAATTTGAAAATTTCATCCGCATAGCAATGTCAAAAAAAAAAAAATTATATGAAATACAAAAGACAAACACATATCGAGTTTGCATTCATAATTTCAATTTCAAAAAAGCTAGAAATTTTTGATGGACAAAAATTTTTTCCGGCAAAAAATCAAAAAAATGAAGCAATTTAAACTTTGACAGAAATCACAACAATTTCTTTCTTTCTATATCAAAGAAAAAGAAAAAAAGAGGAAGAGAGAGAAAAATATTACAAATTTCCTTCGTATCGATTGATGAGTAAATTTTTTATGAAATGATTTTATGAGTAATTAATCTAAAAAGTAATCCATCATAATTAAAATGACAAGTACAAGGTATACATATATGACAAGAAAAAATAAACATTTACTTAATTCAAAATGAGAAAAATTTTGAATAACAAAAAATAAAATATGGAATTTTTTCTTTTTTTTTTGAAGCGAATTTAATGGCATTACAATATTTTATACAATAAAGAAAAAATGTAAATAACAAAGTAAAAAACAATAAAAGTTGTTTGAAAAAAAAGATAAAATTAATTCAAAAGTTCTTAATTTTACAAAAATTCAATAATTTTAATCATTTTCGAGCTTCCAATTTTCCAATTTCAATTCCAACTCCCAGTTTGTTTCGCTATATTCTTTCTACCTAAAAATTTTTTGATGATTATAGTAAAAAAAAAAAAAATTCTTGAAATTATTATGTTTGATTTTTTGTATTTTATGGCGCTTTTGTCTAGCAATGTTGTTTATGATAAGATTATTTAAAAAAAATTTCAATCTTTTAAATTTATATCAATATTGAAAGCATATTGAAAGTAATATCATAAATAATTCAACTGTTTACGACTGAAAAATTCGATAATATCGTAAACAAAATGTAAATTTTTATGTAAAGAAAAAAAAGGGATACTGTCGATGAATTGTAAATCAATCAATTAATGATAATAAAGATTAAATGGAATTTTACGACTGTTAGTATAAATTCACTCAGACGGAGAAATTCTTTTTATACAAATATGCTCTTCTTATCATTATTATCAGAATAACTGATAATATTATCAATAAAATTTGGTTGTCATTTGTCAATGTAACATTGATAATCCTAACAAATAACGCTAAAAATTGACGAATCATAAAAAATTAGGTATAATTTTATAAATTATTAACATTCACTTTTATTAATTGGTGAAAAAATAATTCGTATCACAAATATTTTTTCATCATTCGATTAATCAAAATTAAAAAGTAATATTTGTATTTAATTTTTAATTATTATTTTCAACTATTAGCGGCAATTAAAAGTAATTATATCTTTAGCACTATTATTCACATTACCTTTCTCAGATTGGTAAATTTTAGCTCCTGGTTTTGGTGTTGGAGTGCGATTCTTAATTGATGTTGTTGATGGCCTTTGACCTATGGATAATAGCGAACATTTAGACAATTCACCAGTTATCATCGAAGAAGTTTGATTCATTTTTACTTCTAAAAAAAAAAAAAAAAAAATTGAATAAATTAATTGTATTGGTACTTTATGTGGCAAACCTTAAAAATAATTCATAAACAGAATTAAATTTTTGCATTATAAATTAATTATAAAATTTATAATATTAAATTTTACTGACCATCCATTTTAAGTGCTTTTGATGATTTAATTATGGGTTCAGCTAATAATGATTTAGACGATTTAGACGGATTTGTGGAAATGAATTTCACTGCATCTCCTTTTTCAGCTTGCGATGTGTTACTAATTGTAGTTTTAGCCACATTACTCTCTTTTACTAATCTAAAAAAATCTCACAATTACTTAAGCGAATGGTAAAGTAAGAAAAAAGCACAATCACTTAAATGAATAATTAAGTTTTGAAAAAAAAAAAACGACAAAGTAACAACATTTATTAGTAGAAAAATTCACCCAAACACATCAGTAAAAAAATACAAGATATAAAATTAATTAATATTTTTTAATGAAACCAAACAATTTAATTGAATTGATAAGATTATCTGATTGTGTTTGTTATCATTAAAAGTTATAAATAAATATGATAATAGACGACAAAGTGATTTGTTAAAAATGTAAAATTTTGATACGATAATATTTTGGGTTAATTTTTAAATAAGAGAAATGTTAATCGAAAAAAGTATTAACATTATTCATTAAAAATAAAGGAAAATTTTCGCTTAACAAAAAAAAAAAAAAAAAGAAAAAGAAGACTTTGTGACCTATTTCTGCCGTTAATTATTCGCTCTCCCACTTAATTATAATTAATTTTTGATCCGTGTGACAATTTATAATTCTGTAAAATGTGAGTATTAGCTTCTTAATAACTGCAAAGTAATTATTTAATTTGGATTTTCTTACTTTATTGGTTTTGTTTGCTCAGCTTTTGATGCATTGTTGTTTCCATCTGATAACTAAAATGAAATGTATAATCGTTTGAACTTATTTTATTCCAACAATTATTATCGTTTGAAATGAATTTGAGAAAGAATTTCAATAAAACGAAATATATTTTGTAAAAGAAATCGTTTTTCATTAAAGTTAAATTATTAAAAATTAAAATTAAAGAATTTCCTTTTTTAAAAAATAAAAAAAATAAAAAGATCATAAATATCTTATTCAAATCAAATTATGAAAGCTGAAATTAGTGGATTATCAAGAAATTAATCAATTCTTCATTAAAATTGAATTATTAAAACTGAAATTATGGAATTAAGGGATAAATTTCAATTATTTAAAAATGATTTTTTTAATTATTAAAAATCACGGAATAAATTTAAATCATTAAAAATTGAAATTAAAATATTGGAATTAATTTGAAATAATTTACAATGGAGTAACCTTTCTTTGCGGTTGCACATTATTTTTGCTTTTCTTCTCTGCCACACTCTCCTTACGCCAACCTCTTTTCATTTCAACATTTCTCGACATTCGTAATGCTAATACTTTCGTTGACTTCAAATAAAATTTCCTTTTCCAGTTCACTCAATAGATACACATACATGGAACAGCTTATTCTCTCTTTTAAATATATTATAATTAAATTTAAAATTCGATAAATAATTTTAAATAAAATTATTTATCCAATAATTATTTCAAATTTATAAAAAAAAAAAAACTCATTTTTAAATATTTTAGCAGTTACGATATAATATAATCAATTTCAGTAACTAATTTAATTTTAAAATTTGCTGAAAAATTGAAGAAAAGACGAAAAAAATATGAAACGAAGACAGAAAAAATAAATAAATTAATAAATAAAAAAAAAAAAAATAATAACCGCTAAGGAAGAAATCTCAGAATTTATCATTGTTAGCTTATCGATTTTATCAGTAGATGTAATAAACTTCATTTGTCCGTATAAAAGTGCTTTGAAAACATTTGTTGCCGCTACATATTCCTTTAAAAAAAATTTTTTATTTTTGAAATTAGAATTTAAAAGATTTATTTCATTATTATTACTCTTATTATTACTATTATTGTAGTGAAGTTTTGTTAACTTTATGTTTAAATTTTGAAGTTTATTTTATTTGCAAAAAAATCAAAAAAATAATAACTGAATTAAACATTCAAAAAAGGAAACAGAAATTTTGTAAATATTTATTTTAAAACCAAATTATTATCACTCATATTTGCTTAATGAATTAAAAGAAAAAAAAGGCAGAAAAAACCTTATCACTAATTATTTGTTCCACTGATTGAATAAGCTCTCCATTTAATGTGTATAACTTTTTTGCACCATTTGTTAAACCAATTTTCTCATTTATAATATTCAATAATTCTTGCATATTTTTAAATTGATCCGTGTTGATGATAAACTAGTGGAATTGTCATTAATTTATTTTTCTTTCAATCTTTTGATTTTACAGAGTAAACAAAAATATATCTTAAATATTCTTTTGATAAATGCATCAACAATTTCGCCTAATCATTATTTCAAAATTTTGCTTTTTATTTTTTTAAAAAAACATTTCTTTTTAAATTTTTATTTAAATAAATAGCACATCTTCCAAAAAAAAAAAAACATTAATTTGTCTAAAATTTGAAACTTTGATTGAAAAAGAAAGAAAATAAATCCTTACATCAAGTCCTTCAAAAGAATTATCACCATTTTTATAAATTTTAACTCGCTTTTTAGCAATTGTTGTCTCCATCATTTTTTGATAAAATTATTTTAATTTGTTTCTGAAATGAAAAAAAAAAAAGAAGAAAAAGAAAAAAATAGATTAATTTATATTTAAAATACAAAGGATATGAAATTGCAAAAGAAAAGAGAAAAAATTAAACTAAATGTATAATAGAATACGTAGATTCTTTGAAACTTAAATATAATTCCGTTTTTGGCACAACAAATTCATAAAAGTTAAAATAAATTTTTCGATTACAATGAATTAATGCTTAGCGTTAAATAAATGTTACAAAGTGTAAAAGAATTTATGATAAATTACTTGCTTATATTTTTATGAAAAAATATTAATTTAAAAATATTTCATTTCATTTAATTTTTTTTTTCTGATAAATTCCGGCAAAACAAACAAAATAGAAAATGAAATGAAATTTGAAAATTGTGACAAATTCTTGGAAATATTATTAATGTCATATCAAAGTCTCTTTGAATTTTTCTTCATTATCACATTATCATATTTCATTTGATTACTAGAATGAATTTATTGCTATCTGAAAATTAATCATTTTATTGCCTGGTAATTAATAAAAAGATTGAAAATTGTTGTTAATAAATTATGATAAAAAGAAAAGGAAAAAGACTAATTATAAACACATAAATTATAATTAATAAAGTAAAATTAATTAATTAATTTGCTTTATTCCATCAATAAGTATTATTTGTTATTAAATATATATATATATATATGTAAGTCAATGTACATTTGTATATTTTTTTTATTTTTGAAAAAAATATGCTAAAAGATGTTTAATAATTAACTACTCAATTATATTGTTAATTAATCGGTTAGTTCAGCTAAATGAAATTTATTAAAAATGGATGAAACGTGATTAGCACTCATAGAATTTAATTGATTATTTAATTAATTAGTTGGTTAAAAGAAATGAAATTTGCCAAAATGAAATGCAAAATAAATAAAACTTAGGAATATATTATTAATTAATTAGTTAGTTAAATGAAATGATATTTGTGAAAAAGAAATAAAACTAAATAATATGAGTTATGGAATATATTGAATTTATATAAATTACAAACATTTTAAGCACGCAATTTTTTTTTTTTTTTCATTTTTTTAATTTCTTTCATTTTTCTCTTTTCATAATTTTTTTTCAATGCAATATTTATAATTTATCGCTTTTGTTCTTGAAATTGGTGTAGATTGTGATTAAAAATATTAGAAAAACTCCTACAATAATTATATTTTTAAGTAATTATTAATTAAACAATTCAGTTGCTTAAAATTCAGAGTTTAATTAATTGGTGATAAATTTAAAAAATAAGTATTTGTCGTATTTCCTAGAAATGAAAATATTGGTATATGAAAATTCAAAAGGAGGTCGTATAAGGGAGAGAGAGAGAGAGGGAGAGAGAGAAAGAAAGAAAGGAAGGTGATAAAAAAAAAGTGTAAAATATTTCGGAAAAATGAACAATGTACAATAAATTGAATCTTTTTTTCTTTTCAAATAATTCAACTTTTCATTTTCAATTCTTTAAAAAGTTGATTCAGTTTCTCATTGTTTAATAGTTTAGTTAAAGCCAAATTAAAAAGTAAGAGAGAAAATTTGAGAGAAAAAAATCTACTTTAATTCATTTATCTGAGATATTATAAATTAAAAGGGATAAAATTTTTTACCTTTTTTTCTTAATTTCACAATTTGCTAATACATTAAAAATTAACATTCAATCAAAGTTTTTTTTAAAAAAAAAAAGTTTAAGAGTTTGAAAAATGATTTTTTTGAATAATAACTGATTAAATCAAAGATATTTTAGCAATTTTCGAGAATTTTAGAGATACATAAAAGAGGAAAGAGTGAAATTTTTAAAATGTAAATATTTTATGAATTGTAACATTGAATTTTATAAAATCTCATCAGTTTATCATTAACGATAATTTTGAATTAAAAAAATAATAATAATAATAACTGAATTAAAACATTTGAAAAAATTTTTACTTTTGCAAATATTCATTTCAAAACCAAATTATTGTCATTTATATTTGATTAATAAAAAGACATAATTGTTTAAATTTAAAACACTTCCAAACGATTCGGAAAAAGGTTGGAAAACTGAATCTTTTTTTTTTCAGGAAAAAATAAAAAACAAAATTAAAAAAAAGGAAAAGTAATAAATAAGATGGGAATGAATGTTAACACAATGAAATTATACATATATATTCAAATTACGATCTTAATTTTCCTCTTCCTTGTTTTTTACTAATAAAATTTTCATTATTTCTTTATTCGTTCATTCATTGAGCGGAAAAATTTAATAGAAATAAGCCTATAAAGGATGGAAAAAAGGGAAAAAAGGAAAAGGAAATGCTATTTTTTATTTTATATTGAAACGATCTTTGCATTTTTTTTACGCAATAAATGAGAAAATTAGGTAAAATTATATTTGTAAAAATTAATAAAAAACAAAAAAAAAAAAAAGCAAATAGATGAATGACACACATACACAAACAGAAAATAATAAATATTATAATTAGTTTACTTTTTATAATTTACAAAATAAATAATAAAAGTGAATAAAAAATGAAAATAAATAAATAATATGATTCGTCCACTATGCAAAATGTATATGTATGTTTTTTTATTTTTTTCAACATAAATAAAAGTTATATAAACTTTTTTGCTTTTATTAATTTTGCATCCTGATCAATTAATTAAATTAGGTTAGATATGTTCTAATAGGTATGCTGTTCCTTTTCACGATATCATAAAACTTATGTGGAAAGCTCATAATATTTCATAGAGAGAGAGAGGGAGAGAGGGAGAGCCTTGTCATATGTATAGATAGAATCTCACTTTATCAGATTGATAATTTTTGACGACCTATTTGTTGAATCTTTACACTGAATGGCTTAAGTTAAGTAAAATGAACTTTATTTACCACCATCTCAATTATGAAATAACAGTAGCAGTAGCAGTTAGTTATATCACAGAGACTGTCGATTCTCAGTACAATTAATCAGTATGTGTTTCGGCATTTCAGTATCAAATTTGATATTTCACTTCTTAAACTGTTTTTCAAATTATCTGTTTTTATCTGCAGTACTTATTAAATTACAAAGAAGTGTTCCACATTTTTTTTATATTGCAATAAAGAATTACAAGACAAAAAATGTACTGTGCAAAAAAAAAAAAACAAAAAAAAAACAAAAAATAAGCACATCCTATGAGAGAGGTAAATAGTTGCCAAGACAACAAATTAAATATTTGAAAAGTATTAACATAACTGCTAAACAGCAACACGCCAACTGCTTCCTTCAAACAACAAAAAAAAAAAAAATGCAAAAATACGGTGAGATCAGATAAGAATGTAGTTTAAGTAATTAAAATGGGGCTTGCATAATCATCCTTATCAAAAAGCTCCCCATAAAGAATTATCATTCATAATGTCAACAAAACATGGAACGCTTAGTAAATGGAGCTGAAAAAAAAGTAAGGTTAAAATGTAACTGTAAGAATGATTTTTTTTTAAATCAAAGTAAAAAATTCATTAAAATGCCATTGATAAGTAAGATCAAAGAGAGACATAAACATGAAACATCTGGAAATATAAAAACTTTAAAATAGGCACCCATTTTTCGACAAAGTAAAACATTTGATATTTAAACATAGGTTCTATTTTTCTAATACTAAACACCAGTTGAACCAAATCCATCCGTTCCACGTTTACTATTTTCTAGCGATTTAACCTCGACAAATTCGCAGTGAGAAATTTTCTCACAAATGAATTGAGCTATTCGATCACCTTTCTTTATCTGTAATATGTATATAAGTTTTTTTTTTTTTTTTTTTTGAAATATGAACGTTGTCATGTTGCATAACATTTATATTAATAAAAAGTCGTCTTTTACTTCCTCGATAATTATTTTTGCAAACTTACTTGGAAATCTTCGGTACCAAAATTGAAAAGCACCACACTGAGGTGACCTCTGTAATCCGAATCAACAACTCCGGCACCAACATCAATGAAATGCTTCATAGCAAGACCTGAGCGTGGCGCTATTCTACCATAATAACCTCGCGGAATTTGAACTTGTAGATCTGTCCCAACAGAACCTTTATCTATAAAAGGTATAGAATTTTGGGAAGTATTTTATGAATAATCATAAATTACTGACAATACGTCAAGAGTTGGCTAAGGGATTATATTATATATCACTAGTAATGATAAAATTTCTAGCTACTGAAATAAAAAAAAATTACCCTTTGCGGGTATCACACAGTCATAAGCACTGTATAGGTCAGCTCCAGCTGCCCATTCCGATCCGTAAGTTGGAATCTGGGCATTTTCCGATAACTTCTTGAAATAAATACATTTCTTATCCATTTCTATAGTAGAAATAATCTGAAAGTAATGACCAATCATTATATGTAAATATGGTGAACATACTAACTTAAAAAGTTTAAAATCATTTTTACGAAACTGTGGCAAGAACTGTAGAGAAGTACTCTCGTTTCCAAAAAAATATAAATTTCCAAGCCGATTCTAATCACTAACTAACAGCTTAGGAGCACTATAAAACTAGTAATTAAGGATTTAACTCATTACTTAATTACTTTGAATAGCGGCATTCCTAAACCGGTCTTCATATGTGAATTAATCCCCAGAAACGCTAATAGTTATCAAAAAAACTAATAAAAATCAATGTATTAACAAATTCAACGAACTTGAACTCGATTACGATGAAAGATAAATTATCAGTTGAAAATAATACTTGCATTGAATAAAATAATTGAATCAAACAAGAATAAGATTTCAAAAATATTACCTCCGGAATTAAAGCTTTTACAGCAGGAATGGCATCCACTTTTAGCTTTTTTGATGTCGGATTTTCTGTTTCCTGCAAGATATTCTCCAATGGTGTTATTACATCACTATCCTTCGACATAGCTGCTTCTGAAAGTCCTACTAAAATTTCAAGCAAAAAAGATCTAAGTTTTGACAATGAAAGAAAGATGTTGCGGTAATGCAACTGTCTTATTTATGCAATATTTCAGGATTATACCTTTACTGAAAGTGCGATAAATCAAAAAGTTATATTTGACGTAATCCAAGAAGTCAGTAAACCGGCGTATCAACATTGTTATTCAGAACTAAATTCCATGTGCTGAAGGATTTAAAATCTAAAACTGTCAGAAAGAAAAAAACCCAAAAATTTCCAAGTAATTTTTTCAATTTATAGGTTATAACATATTTCAAAAAATAAAAAAAGCAATTCTGTCAGGAATTTATATCTACAGGAAATGCAGAACTGAAATCTCACAGTCTCGAAAAAAAAAGTTTTCGGAATGAAGTTAAAAAGTTACCAAGAACAATTTTAAATACTGCTCAAATAATGACATGAACTAACGTAATCACCACGCTACACCTCACGTACGCAACACCATCACGAAAAGACGGCTCAAATCACGCAGTCATTATGAAAATGTCAACATCCACATGCTTATATACCTATTTAATTTGATAATTAATTACAAAAGCAAATAGTCTGACGTACTTCTCAACGTCGTACGCTGTTTTATAGTTGAAAAACTATTTTTTAAAAAAAAAAAAAAAACGGAAACAATTAATATGAGAACTTATATGAAATCGAAAATTTAGAAAATTGTTATTAAAAATAATTTTTTAATAGAAACTTATTGAATAAAATATTTGAATGCTCCAACCTTCAAACTAAATTACTGAAAAAAACTGATAAATTTAATATTTTAAACTATTTGCCAACATTGTTATAGTTTTTTTCTTAAATTTATACTACACAATTTGATTTGATACTGAAATCAATCGCTTAATATGAAATTCAAATGATTTTTTCACTTCCATTGATCTAGCATTCATCAAAATTAAATCACAACTATATGTAAATTTGAATTCTGTTTTAAAAAAATTAAAAAGACGAATGAAAGTTGTTTATGTTCAACAACTTATTATTTCATTCGAAATGAATTAATCTTTTCATTGTTCTTTTGTTTGATTAATTAACTTTAATATATTATTAAAAGTAAAAATCGTTAAAATATTTTTTTATTACTTATTTTCAATAAATAATAATTAATGTTTCAATGAATAATTTCCATAAATATTTGAAAAAAAGTTTCATAACGATTCTGTAATGATAAATGATTCAATGTAAACTTTTTTCTGCATATTGCCAATTAAACAATTAAAAGGGAATAAAATCAGCAATAATGATTAATTAATTAATTTAATTATATTAAAGATAAATTTGATCGGAGAAATCGAATAAAATTAGTTGTTCGATAGCATAGAAAATGTTTTTATTTTTTTAATATAATTTTATTTAATGAAATGTTTCAATTCAAATTATATTAAATAAATATTTTAGTTAATGCAGTTTCAAATTGAAATTTTCAATAACCAAACGCATGATAAAATTCTGATGCATTTATAAATAAATAAATTTACCAGTTCAATTTGTTAATTAAAAAAAAATACAAAATGAATGGAATTTTAGGCGTAAATCATTTCTGCTTGAAGCTAAGCAATAAAAAAAAAATCATTGCAAAAAAATTTTTTGCGAACAGTTTTTTCTAATTTTTAAAAATTTCTAAGTAATTTTAATCAGATTTCAGTATATCTATTTCTTAAAAAAATTAGACAACAAGCAATAATCATTTTTTGCACAAATTTGTTTATTTGTTTTTAATTTAGCATAATGATAATAATAAATTTAATATTAGCATAAAATTTTCCTTGAAATCAATTCACCAATACTTTTTTGATAGATAATAAATTAAGAGAATTTGATCAAAATGGCATTCATTGTGATAAGAGGTCATTTGTGCTTCTTTATCAAATCAAAATTAATCACTGGCCTATAAAATAAAATAAAAATCACTGAAGAAAAAATTTTTTCTTTTTTACTTTACAAATAGTTTTTAAAATTTCTATAACAATTTGAAATTGAATTTTATTGCATATTTTTATTGAAAAATTAATTGCCAGTTATTTTTGTTTTTGCACAAATTTATGATAATATAATATATTTTATTTCAGTATTAAAAATATAACAGTAGAGTTATAATAAATTAATATGTTCAATTTTTAGTAAATAATTTTTGTTCCATCAAAATAAGCAAAATGTTTTTGTCTTACTAATTTCCAAATAGTTTGATCATTTTTGATTCACTAATTTTGTACAATTTCAAATGAACGATACAACTTCATTGTGATCTATTCTAAGTCATTTTAGTGATTAACTGATCTTCAAATGATAATATACCTAAAAAGAAATTCAACCAAATTTGAATTAAAATCTTATTTAAAGAATGAACGAATTCACTTACTTACATAAAGTACTTTTCAGAAATAATTCTTTTCAGATCCGATTGGATTAAATAAAAAAAAAAAAATGCATATCATTTTGAAAGGCGGATTCTTTTGGCTTTCTTAAATTACAACAGTGACACTTAGGCTTCTCTTCCAATATTTGCTTATCTCTTTTCCCTAGGCTTGAATAAATATTCGTCCTTTTTACACGCCTACTATTTATACTTTTAATACGATCATTCCATCGAATTGAAATATTTTAAGTTTTTTTTATTAAATACAGATATCATTTTATAGATTTGAAATATTTTTAAATTTACTAATTGTTGCTTATTTTATCGTACAAATTCAATTGTTATTTATCTATTCGATGTTTTTATTTTTTTATCTTTCATTTATTATTTCTTCATTTACCTATTAATTTGTTTATTTATTTTGATTACTTATTTATTCATTCATATAGTCTTTTGGATTGTTCATTTCATGCATCTTTTCAATAGATTGATGTAATTTATAGATGATAAATGACAAAATTTTAATTAGATTTTAAAACTAATGATTTGAAGCTAAAAAAAAATCAGTCACAATTATATTTTACCATGCTTAAAAACAAAATATCATTCATTTCATATTTAATTATGCATGAAATAAACCAAATAGTCTGATTAAAATAACTGATAGTACGATGAAAAGACCAATATTTCCTTTCTTTAAATTGTGAACTTAAATTGAATTGATCAGTCAGTGTATTCAGTATTCAGTATGAAAGTTTAAAACATCCAAAAAATTGAATGAATTATAAATAAATTCTTCAAGATATATAATATTTCAATAAATCCTACACCAAACAAAAAAAAGATAATTTATCTAAGTTTCAAATCTACCAAAAAAAAAAAAAAAAAAAAAAAAAAATGTAAAAATTTTAAAGTCATTTATGAAAAATGAAACATAAAAATGTTATAACTCCAAAAAATTTTTTTGCATATTTCTTCGAAAATTCTCTCAAAACTAATATTATTTTTTGTGCGTTATACCTGAATCAAAATTTTATTAAAGAAAAAATTTTAAAACCAATATGTATGAAAATGGTTTTTAGAATTTGTTCAAAATTAACTACCATATTTTCAATTTCCCTTGAGATAACATTATCCTCTAAAATGAAATAATGAAAAAAATTCTGAATCAGACATATGAAAATATATTTGAAAGTATTGCTTATGTATATTCTTTTTCTTCATTTAATTATATACTCAACTGATTATCATTATTATCATTATCACCAATCATTACTAAGATATTATTTTTTTTTTAATTCAATCAAACAATTTTCTCTAGTGGAATAGCTAATATTGCCTAAATGCATATATTACAAAATAAGATTCAACGAAGTAATTTAGTCCAATACTTAATATCATTTCTGATTATTATTATCATCATTACCAGTACTAATATTGTTATCAGTTAATGCTGTATTATTATCATTGTTATTATTATTATCACTATTATTATTATAGATTTCACATCATTATCACCACATATAGCAATATTTTATTTGCAAAAAATGAAACAAGGTTTACTTATACAAAAGTTACTTTTTCAATTTATATTAAAATATTATTTGTGCAAAATTTTTTGCAAATTCTTTCAGAAATTAAGAACAATATTTTAATTTGAAATGATATTAGAATTAATAATAACATCAGTATTACTTTTGTCAAATCGTAGTACTGCACGACGTGTACCACACTGTGTACTTAAATGTAAAGATGCACACATGCAACAGGTTGGTATTATTCATTTTAAATTGTTCAATTAATTTGACAAAAAAAAAAAAAATGATTCAGTGACCGGTAGACGACTATTTTTTATTTTTGCACTTCCATTATTATCACTACAGTAGGGGACTAAATTAAAAGAAACAATCATTGAAAAAGATGGTGGTCTTTGATCTTTTGACAATGTTTAAAATTGTTTTAAACATATTTAAATTGTTTAATTGAGTACCTTTTATTATTTTTATCTTTTGAAGATGGAAAAAGAATGGTCATTGAATTTTGCATTTCCATTATTATCACTACTGAAAGCTACCGGTAATGAAACAGCTGCATATAATCGAGCAGTTGAAATTTGCAGGTTACAAATATATTTTAATTTCTTTCATTTAATAAATTCGACAAATAAAAAAGACTAAAGGTTAATTTTCAAAAGTAAAAATTCGTATTTAAGTTTCATTTGAAGTGTCAAAGATCGAAAAAGAATTCACTTTAAGATATTATTTATTTTTCAAAGTTAATTCACAATTCTGTTTGCGTTTCATATGAAAATTTTCGACAAAAGAAAAATCAATTTCAAAATCAAATTTTTCATATCAAAAAATTATTTTACAATTGGTAAGGTAAGGCCAATTTGGCTCAGAACAAATCAAATAGACAATTTGACTTAGTAGAGATAAGCCAAATAACCTATGTAACTGGCATATAATTCCTGTTTCTTAATTAACTTATAATGCAACGAAAGTCGAAATTTTTTTCATACTTTCGATTAAAAAATTTGTTAGAAATTTTTTAAATTTATTTATTTATTTTATTTTACTTTTTT